GGATTACCATATTTAACTGCACCACATTAGTAGCTGTCCTGTTAAGTAGAAAGCTCCATTATTTGTTACCCTTAAATATGGCAAACCAACATATGGATACCAAATTAGGTACTTATTATTATTTTATTATTATTATTTTATTAGTTACAATAGCGTCATCAGATTCATCAGATTCCGTAGTGCTGTACAATGGGTGGACTAACAGACATCTATCTTTGTAAAACAAATGAAAATCCCTAAACAAAATATTGGTCGAATTTCATCCAAAACAAATTGTCTTATTTAATTTCAGATGAAAAAAAATTTCTTTTCATCTGAATTCATTCGGGCGAATCAAAAATTCTCACCAATTCTAGTAGTTATTATCACACAGACGCTTCTGTGGGGGGCTTATTAGTGAGATATTACTAAATAGGTTTATGATTTTTTTAATGCAATTTCCATTATGTTGTAAAGTCATAAAGAGCGTGAATATATAGAGAGTGAATATATATAGAAATTGGCAAATAAAGCAAAAACAGAAAAGATACAAGAATAGACTAAAGCTTAGTTGCTCATCCCATAAGCCATCCCCATTCACCTGTGAGTGTCCTTGATGTGAATGAGCCTGGACCAGTCCCACTCTGCTAAGACAGGGACACTACAGAATTGGCACCAACATAACTAGTGCTGTCAGTGGACACATAGTAATGATTTTTATTGTTAATCTAAAAAATTTAAAAAAAAATTCTACTTGATGCATTTAGTCCAAATTTTGTTTAATAAAGGTGCTTTGTAAATGTCTCTATCCTATGAAAAGTACTGATTTTAAAGTTGATGGCAAATGCATCCAGCCAGATGGTGCAAATTCGGTCCAGATAACAAATTTTTGAGTATATTTGGCTTTTGGAAACATGAGGATTGCCAATCCAGTCATTTTCACCAATGTTTAATAAACAGACCCGATTGAGTTTTACATTAGTTTACCACGTGCTTGTGATGTCCTATCACTTTGCTACATATTTTTCCCCATGGTTCCATGCTAAAAAAAACAGGAATATTCAAATATTTGTTGCAGTAAACAATGTACTGTTATTTTAAATGCACCTTGGCTATCATCTGCAAATACAAATGCT